GTAAACGAAATTAGGGAAATGGGCAGTTTAGAAATTTGCACAAAAAATATTGTGATTGTATCTCTAGGAAAGAATTCATATGGAAGAGAGTCTCTTGAAGGCTCAATGTTGCATAAGATTATTTCTATCTTCTGTGGTGGTCTTTACATTATCACACACTATGTTTCTGTGTCTACTTATAGAAAATACAGCCCCATAACAAGTTTAGAGCAACGTGAGCAGTACCAGGAGGATTTCTGCGCCGAGTATGATGAGTACAAAGACCTCCATTCCCGGATTGCCACCATAACTCACATGTTCATTCAGCTGGGCTCTAAAATCAAGAGCCTGTCCCCTGGTACTCAAGAATATAAGGTACATGATATATGCAGATATGCAAGTGCTCAGTTTGGACTGTTATTCTCTATATGGAAACTAATATTAACAACTTTGTGTTTTGTACCATTTAGACAATGGAAGACCAAATACTAGAAAAGTACAACAAGTATCGCAAGGTAAGTCAGACACATTGAAGTCGTTTTTCTTGTAGTTCACATATTTGAGATTTATTTCAGATTTATCACCTATTGCTCATCTTTTTTTGTGCTCTTATAGTCTTAAATGTACATTTCAATGCTTAAATAGCTTGATTTTTTTAAGCAATTAAATTCTGTGAAAGCTGCTTTTATTAAACAGCGAGTAGTTAACCTAAACTAAACAAAGACAATCTTTAAGATTGATCCTCAATATTTTAGTGGTTAAAAAACAAATTGTTTTATTTATTGTTAATTGTTTATTTTTTATTTATTTGAGAGAATGTGGATTGTATGGTGTAGGCTGGCACTAGTTTAAGAAGGTTTTTTGCAGTTGCTCTATTTAGGATTTCCACCTGTCTACTATGTAAGTTTTGTAGGCGTGAACATAGAGGAAAACCATGTAAAACTCTTTTAATAATACACTTTTTTTTTTTTTGTCTCCACAGAAGTTCCCCGGTTACCGGGAAGAAAAGAAACGCTGCGAGTATCTCCACGAAAAACTTTCATATATCAAGCAGCTCATCATGGACTATGACGTCTCTAAAGCTTCCTCGTAGCAGATTTTCATATATGCATACACAAACAGAGTGTCAAACAAAGAGTTTTTATATGGTGAAAAGGTTTTATATGAAAAAGGCAGACACTATTGCAGACCACAAATGATGCCGTGAGCATTGATGATATTAAATCTATAGCAGATTTCTATTGTGGTCTTTTAGTTGTGTAGTTATGACTTCTTAAAAGATATCCCATGGATTTAAGAAGTCAGAGGGAGAGGCAAAGAGAGAGTCTTGGCACTAATGAGGACTGTGAACCTCACTTTGCCGAGACAGATACATTTCCTAAAACCTTCTGTCAGCCAGACTCGGTGTCAGACATTTGAATTGAAATATATCAAAGGTAGAAGTGACTTTAACTTATTCCCTTTGTTTTTGAGACTTGCTCAGTCAAACATTGCCTCAGGCGGTTTTTCACTCTCTCTTTTTTTTTTTAACATTTAAAGATTTAAATAAGCAGCATAAAAGAGACACTACAGTTCAGGTTCTTATCAAAGCACCCTAATTTGCGATTAATGACAGAAGCTGTGCACTGCAAAGAAAAAGATTTATCAAATTTATCCTTCATTTATCCTTCATGTCTTATTATGCAAAGTGGGTAAGATTTTTTTCCCCTCTCTTTTTCCACCTGCAGTGCTTCAGGCATTTATCTTGGAGGAAGGGATGTTTTAGAGTTCTGCATTACGTTTGTTCTGTACTGGAAATAAGTAGAATAATTGTCACCCTGTGGCAAAACAAAAAGTCATGTAAGATAATGACATTTTGCGATGCAGCCTGTAAGAGGTTCCTGCTGTTTAGCTGGAGTCAGCTGGTTTCTTACTTTTATGAAGTATGCGATCTTCACATTTCACACACTAAATTGATTCCGGCTCATTTTGAAAGCTGCTGAATCCAATTAGCAAAAATTTGTTCTCAATTACCTAGTTGAACATGTTAAGAGCTTCAGGTTCACATGAAACTTACTGCAATAAGTCGATATGTGCCGTATTTATTAAGTATTTATTAAGTACACTCCCTTTCTTTTGCTAAACTGACCAAAATGCTCAGACGTCATTAATAAGCAAGCAGCAAGTCTAGTTTAAAGTATTTAAACCTACTGGAAAGAAGTGTCTTTGTCTCTTTTTACATAGAACTACTGATGTATTTATTTTGAAATGATTTTGCTCATTCCTGTGTCGCTAGTCTCCACGGATCGTGGTAGCCGGTCTTGGTAGATCTAAGTGTTTGTATCCAAGCAAGAGGGGGAGAGGTTGTAGATGAAAGTATCATAACTTACTGTGTGTTTTGTCTCTGCAGCCCCAAAGGACTCTAAATATTAAAAGATTAATATAGCTACAGAAGGCCTCGGTAGCAGTGAATAGACACGTCACCTAACTCTCCAGCTATGTTTGAAACCATTCACTTGTACACTATAAAAATAGATTAAAAAAGAATGAGGCACATAGCAAACCTGTTACTTTAAACTTCAGTGCTGCTGTGAACATTTTTTATATCACAATGGCAAAAACTACTTTATTTTTTTCATGAATTGGCACATTGATGTGGCAAGGATATTGGAAAGTTGTGGGGTCAGTTATGATCCTGGAAATCTGTGCAAGGTTTCCAACATCGTGGGGTTTGATTTATTGTAATTTTCCACTTCTAAGTACTACATCGTGGTGTTTCGTAGTGAGCCATGGCTCATAGAGACAAAGCAACAAGGTTTACTGCAGCAGAAGCCTTGATGCAATAAAAGCAGCTCAGTTAGATGAAAACAGTTAAATGAACAGAACAGTTTGCATTCATTTTAGTAGGCACACTTGTTCAACTCATTTTTAAAGACCAAATCAGCCAATCACATGGCAGCAACTCAATGCATTTAGGCATGTAGACAAGACGACCTGCTGAAGTTCAAACCAAGCATCAGAATGGGGAAGAAAGGTGATTAAGTGCCTTTGAAGTTGGCGCGGTTGTTTGTGCTAGAATCCCAGCTGGTCTGTGCATTTCAGAAACTGCTGACCTGCTGGGATTTTTCCCACACCACCAACTCCATGGTTTACAGACAATGGTCCAAAAAAAGAGACAATATCCACTGAGCTGCTGTTCTCTGGGCGAAAATGCTTTGTTGATGTCACAGGAGAATAACCAGACTGATTCAGGCTGACAGGAAGGCAACAGTAACCACTTCTTAAAACTGAGGTATGCAGTTTGAACATTGCAGCAGAATGCCACACTAGTTGGCACTCCTGTCAACTAAGAACAGGCTACAGTTTCGGCACACTCACCAAAATTGGGGAAAAAAGACTGAAGAAATGTTACTCAGTCTGAGGAGTGTTCATTTCAGCTGTTACACTCAGATGGTGGGGACAGAATTTGGCATTTTCTCGGCACACTTTGGCCCCTTACCACACGAGCATCATTTAAATAATGATAAACGACCATTAGGATAAGGTGACCTGTCACGACGTTCAAATCATCTCAAACTGGTTTTTCAACCCGACAATGAGTTCACTATACTCAAATGAGCTCCACAGCCACTACATTACAATTGAATAGAGCACCTTTGAGATACAGTGGATTAAGAAATCCACATCGTGGATGTGCAGGTGACAAATCTGCAGCAGCTGTGTGAAGCTATCATGTCAATATGGACCAAAATCTCTGAGGAATGTTTTCAGCACCTTGTTGAATATGTGCTGTTCCGAAGGCAAACAGGGGTCCAGCCCATGCTAGCCAGATATACCTAATGAAGTGTCCGCGTAGGTACAATGAACATAAATGCCGTCATTAAAGAAGTATTCCTGTGTAAATTGGATAATTAACCCCACAGTCATTTTACTTATGAGAAAAGTTCACCTTTATGAGGGTTGATGTTCATATTGTGTTGCTTTTTTTGGCTTATTAGAAAATAAAAGTAGTTAACTGAGGATGTTTTATAGTGTACAGTGACTGGTTTCAAGAAGCTGCCACTATATTGGTAAAATGTGTGCATTTGCTAACTTACTATATGTTGTAGTATTTAGGTATTTTAAGCTTGGAGAGCTGATTCTCAACTTTTAATCAGTGCCTATTCAGAGTGTATTTGTCCATTGTGGCTGCAGCTTTTGTATTGAATGTCATTACACAGTCATTGACATAGAAGCCTTAAGGATACTTGTATAGTCTTCAAACTGCCAATATCAAGATGCTCATTATCCATACACACACTCATCTGTTATCTGCCTTATTACTACTGTTTGCTGTTTAAAACTGTTTAAATGATTGCCAACAGTGGCTTTCTGTATTCTTAATGTAATTTAACGTTCTCTGTTTCCTGTGATGACATTGCTTACTCATTTGTTGCATTTGTAATCCTTCTGGTACATTTTTGCTTTATTCATCACTGAGGTAAATGTGCAGGCATTCGCCATTAAGAATAACACTTATATATTTCTAATGCTGCCGATATTCCTGTTGACACCCTGTTTTACTTTCTGAGCACACAGAGTAGTTTGATTTGAAAATTTGCCTTTTAGTGATTTCGGACATATTTCAAGCACAAAAAGCCCAATCTTAAAAGTAACAATTGACAAACAAGTGATAATTATGAAAAGATTTATAGAAAGAAAGGAATAGATGTGTCAGATTATTGATGGAAAACCATAATTATTTTTGGATTGTTGTGATTAAGAGGGTATGATTATATTTGGGCGATTGAGCAGGATAAAAGTATCACCAACAATGAAGACCCGGAGAGGAGCGTATGCATTATGAACTGCATTTTACAGTTGTGTACTTTCTCTTCTTCTATTGTGCAAATTTCAAACAAATAAAACCATCAAAGACATCTATAACCACAGACATTTTTCTTTGTAGATCGCTCTTATTTTTTTGTGCACACAGCAATCATGTTTTCTTTATGCACGCAGGCACCCTCATACACAGGTATAAGTAGAAGCCAAGAAATTATTGTATAAGACATTTTATATTTTTCTGTTTTATAAAGGGCTAACAACAATGTTGTCAGCAGCAAGAGAGTTTTCCTTTGTCAAAAGTGTAAGAACTGCAAACTTTAAAACTTAAAGTGTCAAATGTAAAGGATGGGCTAAATCAAGATCTTTAAAATTCAAGCTTTTAGATCCTGAATAATAATATGTTTTGTTTCCTTAATTGTTAAAGCGAAGGTCAGCTGGCTATAAAATCCTGTCAGTTAACACAGTGCAATACCATATCATTATAATGCTTCACATGCATGAAACAGTCCTATTAATTTTGCATTTTGGTATACTTGGAGGGTAACTGTAAACTGTAAAATAAAGATGGTCATAGCATGCATTTTGAAAGCCACATTCATTTTATTATAATTGCTTCATTTTTGCCTGTTTAGCTGGAAGTTACCATATTTGAGAATGTAGGTTAAGTCATCAGCTAACACTAGTAACTGTGGTTAGCAAGCTGCATTGATAAACTGTACAGATGCAGTGCCTGAATACACACATCTGCTACTTACTGCAAAGATACAGACTAACTCTGGTATCCAGATGGATGAGATCTGAAAACACTCAGAGTTGCAAGGCGGCACTTGAGGCACAAAACACTATTTTATATACTGTTAACTACCATGTTATAAAAGGAGAACAAGAGAAGACCATCAGCTTGTCCCTATGTTGACCTCATCCCAGTATCATTCTCCAACTTGCAATGAAAAACACAGACCAGTTCAGTTAAGTTTTGGCTGCTTATTCATGTGTGCTGAGTTCAGCAGGTTTAGTAGCTGCAAGGCTGACATGCTTGAAGAGTTCTATTAAAATGATAGCACAAAAGAAATACTGTTTATGACTGCTGCTGTGATTTTGTGTTATATAAATAAAATTGGGAGCGACCACCAGAGAAACTGCACTCGTTGGTATTATAATTGGTTTGAATTTTTAGCTGCAGAGGTTGCTGCTTAGTGCAAAAAAGTGTCTTTAATGTGTGTAAAATTTTTCTATACATCATACAGATGTTGGCACTTGCAGTAGGCAAAGATTGGTCCACTCATCTAACAGGAGAGTGGGAACAGATAAATATGCATATGCTATAAGTAAAGTATGATTTTGAGAAACAGAAACCCTTAAACCACATGGAATAACATTCAAAGATAAATGAGAAAGAGAGAGTCCTCCTCAGTATGTCCTTTATAAATACAGGTATGTCTCTCCATCCGTTACTGTTACATCATGTAGAGCTATCACAGTAACAATCGTAATCATAGTCATAATAAAATATATATTTATAAATGGCATACTAAAGCGGGGCAATGTCTATAAATGATAAATTAAGTACTCTATAATACCTTACCAATACTTTAATAATGCTTAATAGTGTGAAATTATTAAAAAGTGCTACCAAATATAAAAAAATATACCTTCTGCTTTACAGAAAGTGCACATAAGAATAATATTTTATCAGTCATTTATCACAAGAGTAGAACATGCACTTTCTTCAGACATAGATTAGATCGCAGGGCTGCAGATCTCACTGTGACCGTTCTTCTGTAGCATCCACGCCGGTGTGTAGCTCCTCCTGACACAAAGCAGCTTTAAACCGCGGTCGGGGTGGAGCCAGTCGGTTGTCATAGCGACCGTGAAACATCAAGCCCGTTCAGAGTTCACAGAGCTGAGGTAAGACCAACATATCCATTTTCAGTGCTTTTCCACTCTGGTCTAAAATTACACTTACACTAAAATACTTTTGTTTGTGATCTAATAGTTGTTTTACAAGCTCCCCTTTTTTGTCCTGAGTTAAACAGCTTTATATGACGATTTTTTATCTGTGGTCTCAGCTCATTGTTAGCCTCCAGGCTAACCAGCAGTGATGGGAGTGTAGTGTTGTGGATAGTTTTGTGTTGTGTGTCAGAACAATGAGGTGACTGCTGTCTCCAGATAGAAAAAGGAGTGATACACCTGCTGCTGTCAGACCTACAGGTTTTAGGCTGTGATGTTCTCCTTTATAGTGGACAGAAATTATTTTTGTGTGGCATCTTATTGAATAATGAACAGCTGATTGTTCTGTAAATAGTTTGAAATGGTTATTTAGAAAATCAAGGTAAAAGGTAAATAGATGCAAATAACTTTATTGTTTGCAAAACTTGTGCATAGGATTTTAAAATTGACCATTTATATTTGCATTTAAAGTTATGAAATATGATTCATTAAACATGTTTGTGGTTGTTACAGTAAAAAATATAACTTTTTCTACTCTGATTTTATGTTTTTTGTGTGATTTTAGATCATTGTGTTAATACAGTATGTCAAAATGAAAACATAACTGTAAATTCAGACACGTGAGGTTGTGCTGAAAAGGAAGATACCAAACAAGGAAAAGTAAATAGTTTTTAAAGGTAAAATTTAGAGAAAACATCAAAAGTAGTTAAAAATGGCCAGTTACAACCTGGACCCCAGAGGGTTAAACGTTTTTTTGTTTTTGTTTTTTAAAGTAACGCAATAGTTACTTTTCAAGTAATTAATTACTTTTAGAAAATTGTAACTCAGTTACTAACTCAGTTACTTTTTTGAAGAAGTAACTAGTAACTATAATTAATTACTTTTCAAAGTAACTTGCCCAACACTGCTAACCAGTGACCTCACTGAACTCTTTTTCAGCCACATCTAGGCCGTATGAATCAGTCTGTGTGTAAAGTTGTAAACTCTATACTCTAAAGTATTTAGTGAACGACATCAAGTGTTACGAAAAGGGCTAATCTGATTCATTTTGTTATTTTATTTATTTCCAATAAATACTTTCAGCGGCATATAAATAGTATCAGCTTTTTCCACTGTGACATTTAAGGCTGTTTCAGTTCCTGCATAGTAACGACCATATTCTACATGTTTTTGGAATACTTTATACTGAATTAACTTCAGGGCTTTTTCTAGCTAATAAAGGGGCAGATGAGTAAAATCTATATATAGTTAAAGCAGTGAGTCTGTGTTGTCTTATTTCACAGACATCTATTTCTTTCTAAAAAAAAAAAAAAAAATTCTGTTGTGGAGGTAAACAAAGACGACATGAGAGCTCTCGATTCTCTCTCCAGGTTTATTCTTCATCACAAGAAAAGAAATGGAATCAGCCCATAACGCAAAGACATCCAGGGATGAGACACCTACTTTGGAACTTACTGGTATGATGCAGGTACAAAGATCTTGACATGTAAAGTTTTAAGTTTAACTATCTCATGCATTAATTATGAGGGCCTCAGTCACGATTTTGTCCTTAGATTTTTATTCCTCTTTAAGCACAAAAAGAAAAACAACCCAAAAATGCAATTGAAATTTTGTTCATGAACCCATTTTTCAGGGAGTTACAAACATGTCCACTCATTTGGACACCATGCATTTGATTCCTAAACCAAAGAAATATGTATTTAACAAACCAATAATAGAACATGATTTACTTTGTGAAAACTGTCAATAAGACATTTTGAAAGCTCATAATCTGATGTTTTCTCACATTTTTATATCCATGTAGCATCATGGCATCTGTTGGCACTTGGCCAAAGTGAGAACTTGATTTTTGTGTAGACCAGTATGAAATATATCCAGTCAACTCTGAACCAGCAAACAGAGCTATTCCATTTTTTACAATGAAGAAAACAAAGGTTGTCAAATAAAAATAACAGTTTCGTTAAACAAAATGTAGATGTTTTCATACTCATTCTAATTTAGAAATGTGTTATTTGAAGAATTATGAATTGAAACTAGGGGTGCAACAATACACAAAATTCACGGTTCGGTTCAGTTCGATACTTTGATGTCACGGTTCGATATTTTTTCGATACAAAAAATGTTCATGCCTTTTTAATTTGTCATTTATTAAAATTATAAATATATATTTTAACTCAAAAGTACAGTTTTTAAATTTAATGTTGCTGAAACAACAAAGTAATAAAAAAATAAATCTATCTGATCGAGAAATCACTCATCTTTGGAAAAGAGAGTTTATTACAGAGAAATGGCTCTTTCCAAAATAAAAGCTATACTATACGCTTCTTCTGGGCTATATTCTCAGCAGCATATTGTAGCGGGTCAGGGCTGTTCGGGGTTCTGTTTGTACAGTTATGTTTTGTTTATGTTGCCATAGTGACGGGTGACGCCCTCTCGCTGCGACGGTGTGTCCTTCCGGGGTCAGAGGGCGCCCTGTGTGTTGTTGTTGTTGTGCGGTTGCCGCGCTGAGCAGTTAGCTAGCGGCAGTGTTCTTCTGCAGATGTCAATAAACGGCTGTGCTCCCTGGCTAGCTCACGGGAAGCAAGACCAAACGACACCTCCGTCTCCTCCTTGTCTGAGCTCGCCACATTGGTGTCAGAAGTGGGATGATGGTGGCACCCCATGTTCTGACCCGAGTGACTTTTCCCCCGCCGGTCGTGACCGGCCGGTGCGCCAAAAGAAGGCACCTGGACATTTGCAGGACTTTGTGTGGGGTAATGGGGTCGTCGGGGACGACTGACCCCTTAGGTGGGGGCTATGTAGCGGGTCAGGGCTGTTCGGGGTTCTGTTTGTACAGTTATGTTTTGTTTATGTTGCCATAGTGACGGGTGACGCCCTCTCGCTGCGACGGTGTGTCCTTCCGGGGTCAGAGGGCGCCCTGTGTGTTGTTGTTGTTGTGCTGTGCGGTTGCCGCGCTGAGCAGTTAGCTAGCGGCAGTGTTCTTCTGCAGATGTCAATAAACGGCTGTGCTCCCTGGCTAGCTCACGGGAAGCAAGACCAAACGACACCTCCGTCTCCTCCTTGTCTGAGCTCGCCACATTGGTGTCAGAAGTGGGATGATGGTGGCACCCCATGTTCTGACCCGAGTGACTTTTCCCCCGCCGGTCGTGACCGGCCGGTGCGCCAAAAGAAGGCACCTGGACATTTGCAGGACTTTGTGTGGGGTAATGGGGTCGTCGGGGACGACTGACCCCTTAGTTGGGGCTATGTAGCGGGTCAGGGCTGTTCGGGGTTCTGTTTGTACAGTTATGTTTTGTTTATGTTGCCATAGTGACGGGTGACGACGCCCTCTCGCTGCGACGGTGGTGTTGTTGTTGTTGTTGCTGTGCGGTTGCCGCGCTGAGCAGTTAGCTAGCGGCAGTGTTCTTCTGCAGATGTCAATAAACGGCTGTGCTCCCTGGCTAGCTCACGGGAAGCAAGACCAAACGACACCTCCGTCTCCTCCTTGTCTGAGCTCGCCACAATATTAAACATATCAGGTCCCCATAAGGAGAATCATGTGCTAACGGCTGTCTAAATGACTCGGGTAAAGTTTGTAGCATGCATGCTTGTTGTTTTTGTCTTCTTCCACTTGTCTTTGCACTAGGATGATGTCGGTGTAAATGTGCAGTCATATTCGTTGTGTTCCCACTAGTGCTGTCAGCGTTAATCTCGTTGAAATGACGTTAACGCCACAACACTGGCAAATCTCCTTGTGTGGGGCTAGACGGCCAACACGTTAACGAGCTAACTGCGCTAACACACTAGTGCGTGGCACATCCAAGATACTGTTTTACTTTAGTCCATGACGCGCTTACCTTCAGGGTCATACGTCACATGAAAACCAAAATAATTCCAAACGCCAGATCTGAATGAGGGTGGGGGGTTCATTCATGTTGCAAGGAGAGCTTAACTTCTGTCTCGCTAGCTTGCCCTGCGCTCGTCTGCCTTCGACGATGCCTAGGCTGCACTGTCGAGCGCAGATCCACTGAGCGCTCAACACAGACAGCATCGTCAGAAGGAAAGTTGATAAAATAAATTAAAAATTTTGTATTGTTCGATACATATGCGTACTGAACCGAAAGCACTGTATCGAACGGTTCAATATCGATACGAGTATCGTTGCACCCCTATTCAAATTGAAACCTGTGGGAAGATTGTAGAAATACAACTTACAGGTGTGAGTAAGTATTTTTGAGCATTTGTTATGAGATTTCATTTCACTGGTGATTCTATACGTGCAATTTCACATACTTGTGATTAATGAAATTCATGAAGTTATTGTTTCAAAATAGCGGCCGATATAAGGTGTTTAGTGGTGAGACTTGCTTCTATAAAGACTTATTTCCTTCATTTGTCAGCTCCCAGGAAACACCAACTGCTTGACTTGCTCAGACGACGGCAGGTATCTCTGTCTGGGCCACTCCGGGGGCTTGTCTGTGTGGTGTGCGTCATCTCTGAATCGTGTTGCAGGGTGGCTGCAGGACAGGCTGGAAATGACATCTATCCAGATGACCAGTATGTCTAAGACCATGTATCTGCTTGGCACTGTTGATGATATGGGTGAGTTATGGTCCACCAGGCTTTCCTTGGGTTGCTTCTGCTGTTTATAACAATTATCTGCCATAAAAATATATCAGACAGCTGGAAGTTTATAGATTAGCAAACACACACTGACATTTGGCCGTGCAATGCCCTGGCAAGCTGTCCAAGATGCACCCCGCCCTCTCACCCAATGACAGATAGGACAGGCTCCTGTCACTATTCTTTTTATTGGCCGCTTTCACACACAATCAGACTTTGCTGCTGCCTCTGGTTAGGAATCTGTGCAGTAGGCACATTTTCTCTAATAAGGGATATTTGGTTTCCAAGAGCCTTGTTGGGTTACTTGGCACAATCTTAGCATAACTTAACTCCACCCAAAAAACTGTTCATTTTTAAGTCATAAAAAATATTATTCTTGCAGTCAGTCTGAGCCACTGTTAGGTTAATCAGGGCATCTGATGTAATTAATGTAGTAAATGTTATTTAATTCATGCCTTTTTGTACATTTAATGCTCCATTTTAATTGTACATTTTGTGAACCACTGCCTTAGACAGTAATGCTTTTTGAAGTGTGTAAACAGGTTCTATATTATTAAATGTTATTCATCATACTGACATCATTGCTATCATCTACAGGTGTTGCGAGAGTCTTTGGTCATCATTCAGACTCGATATACCTCCTCTGCGTTACTAACATTATGGTGTGTATTGTCACATTTTACTAAATGACTTATATAACTGGGACAGGGTGTGGTTTTCACTTAGAATTTTTCTGTTTTTAATTATTCAAAAAAAAAAAGGAAACAAATCAATTATTTGAATAACAGGAAGATATCAACAAAAGGAGCATTTGTTTGTCATTTGAACTGTTTGAAGGGGGAAATTATGGAGCTGCATCACTCAGTTGTAAGTATGAACTTCTATTTTAGTTTTTATGATGGGATTTAGTTACAGAGTTTGCAATCAAATGCAAAATTTTATTCATTTTACGTATCCTATCAGGCGGCGGAGCTGTTTGGCTCGAGGTCTACCAGTTTCCTTCAGCAGCATGGCTGAAAGAGTTGGAGAATGCACAGGTAATGAGTCACAGTTTAAACTGAAATAAGAATGTGTTTTGGGTACCGAACTCTGGGAAGGAGTGCTAAGACCAAAGATTTTGAAGTCCTGGTTACATCCCGGTCTCTCTTTGTACTTTATGCCATTTGTTTTCATATTAGACTTATGTTACCATCATTTTTTTTCAGGTTTTCCCATCCTTTTGGTTGTTTTTCTAGATTTTACCTCTAAACCTGAAATGCTTGGGGTATTGTCATCATCCAGCTGGGCAAGTAGCATTAACACCCAGCTAGGATTTTCATATTTAATACCTTAGGCATATCTACTAAAAATCTTAGACAAGTTCAAATATCCATGACGTTGACCTCAAGGCCAAGGTCAGAAGTCAAATTTTCTGAAAATTTTGTGAACATGACAATTCAAGAAAGATGATACAAGGACTGTCAAATTAATATGATAAGTGTATGTATTAAAAATCTCAGTTTGAATCTCAGTCACCTCGACCTCAATGTGAGGGTCAGAGGTCAGGTTTTCTGAAAACCTTCTGAATGCAGAAGGTTGCAATAAGGAAGTTACCTAGGATTTTCAAATGTATGCAATGGATGACAATGAATCCACATTTTTTTCACAGATTTGGCCTTTTAAAGGCATATGGTCCTAAACTTTTGATCAGTTGTAAAACAGCCTGTTTCAGTTTAAGTATTGTTTTCAATCAATTGCATGCTCAAAAAAGATGTTTTGTCTCTCTCTCATTTCTTCTTGTTGCATGTTGAAGCTCTATTTGGAACCTTGTTAAGATCCAACCATGCAAAATATGATTTTTTGCCATTTTGCAAGTAGTCTTTTGATCGAGACTATATATTGCATGTGACTGAATCACACATTAAATAAACAGTTTTTTTTGGTTTTTTTAATCCTCAGAACCCAAACTCATCTGAATGGTCACCAGTTACCGTAATGATTCAAATCAGGCCACCAAAAATCCCAACAGGTATAACTTTTCTGTTAGAGCAGAAGCATTACATTTACACTGTGCTACAATTTAACCAAACATGCAGAGATGTATGTGGGTCTATCAGTTTTTATGTATTGTATCTCTTGTTTTTATGATTGAAATAAAAATGCAGCCAAGCAACTGACCTTCATGTTTCTGCTTTTTGGCAGAGAAGGCACTCAGTAGTCCACCTGAGAAGTCGCAGCCAACAGACTTTCTGATGCACTGTTTGGCTCTGGACATAATCAGGAGCAGCAGCCATCGTTTGGAGAAGCCGCCCTTCAGTACAGATGAAGGAAAAAGAAAGGAAATGAATGAAAGCCCAAGGTGTGATAAAGTTCATGCCAATACAATCAGCATTCCAAAGCTAAGCTGCTTTCATTGGATGCTCTGTTTTGTTTTGGTCAGTCTGTCTGTCTAAAATAAATCCTACGGGGCATCTCTAAAATATCACCATGGCTGAATTCTCCAGAGCTTTTCTTGATTGGGAGTTCACAGATATTCTGCAGATTGTCTGTCTGTATTAGATAATAATTATAGGGTTATTTTGTTTATATTTGTAAATGTCATCCTACTCGCTCACCTCAAAATTAAAAAATCTGCCCACTTTGCATCACCAGCAGATATTTTGCTCGTAGTCGTTTGAAGTCGTCGAATGTTGTTGACTTTTAGTGGTCTGTAGTTGCCACATTGGTGCTCCTCACTTCCTGTGTGGTTGCCCTCTAAGACCTCATGTGGTTAACTAAAGAAAACTAGAATGACACTAACAGACTCATTCAAAAATGCAAAGAATCACTAATCAAACCAGTCACTACATTATCAGCAAATCCAGTATTAAAGACATAAGATGAGTTAGTTCTACATCTTAATATAACGAGTAAATAAAACTCACCTTTGGGTACTCCAGCATTTGTAATCTGTCTGTCTGCAAACAATTATCTCTCTTTTGTTACATATTAGTTACTGAATCTTTTCCAGACATTGCACGTGGCACTTTCTTCTGCCCTGTGGTCCTGGTGACAGCAAAGCAGAGTTTCAGCCAGGTTTGTAGCATTAAGTGTTATTGCTTAATTGCTTAACAGTAATTTAAATATGTCAAACCCATTTGGAAGTTTCCACAATAATGATCCTTCTGTCTTTCTGACCTTATATGTATGATTGATGAACTGATTGAAAGTCACAAGGGTATCCTCCTGCTTTGGATTGTATTCGTTATGCATTCAACAGTCAGATCCATTAAAGACATATTCAAGTCTGTATGCAGACCATGCTCCTGTTAATGTCATTTTCACTGTCTGACCTTTTCTTAGGATTACTTGTCGCTGTTGCTGTGTGGTGGAGTGGCAGCTGTAATCTTCTTCAGTATTTCCTAAAAAAAACACCAAAGAGCAGCCCAAGTATGATATTTTATTAATTAAGAGATAAGTCTAGATACTAAGAACAAAAGCTTTAAAAAGTGCTGATATTACAGCATACTTTTCTTTACACCAGTGAGATTATTTTAACGTTTTGGAATGGCCTTCTGTTTGATGCAGATGTGGACCCGATGCCAGATGTATTGTGGCCAAACGCAATGGAAATCCTCTGCTCAGCTGTTAGTAAATGCAACCGTTACATCGCTCTTGGGCTCAGTGATGCCTTGGTGTGTGTCTGGGACAGGCGATCCGGTAAGTAAATCCTACGGGGCAGCTCTAAAATGTCACCATGGTTGAATTCTCCAGAGCTTTCTTTGATTGGGAGTTTAGTGAGTTTCTGCAGACATCCTTGTTTTCCGTTAAAATGAAATCTGGAAAATAGAACATGTGAACATCAGTTCACATTCTATTTTGCTTCTCCATTTCAATTGTCAGAATGTTTAGAATGTTTAGAATAGGAAATCACTTTGACCCCCCAGAAGGAATGAATGCTAAAGGTGAGCCCTGTATCAAAACTTCTCATATGAGTTCCTTTGACAAGCAACTCATCCCAAGTGGTGATATGACCGCTGAAAGTTTACTCAAATGCAATTTTGGAAGATTTCTCCAGTAAATTATCAGGGTACCAATTCTTTTTCCTGTTTCTCTACCTCAATATTAAATTGCTGCCGTTGTTGAAACTATGGTATATCCCATGATCTTGATGTTTAAAGTAAAATGAATGAGAATATGAGTAATATGCTGAAGAAAAAAAAGATTTTGTCTCTAGCTCATGACACTCAGGAATGAGTTTAAAATCGTCTTGTACTTTAGTTAGATATGAGGACTCAAAACTACTAAAAAAATATATATAAATCAAAAGCCACCAAAGTTTTACCCACGCATGTTTATTTAAAGGGGCCTGTAAATTGGCAGGGCTTTTTTTTTAATATATTCTAAAGTTCTTATACAAAAAAATCAGATGTTCTCAGGAAGTTAGATGAAAAGCAATGATTGGTTTCCTCACAGAATATCCATTTTCTTCTATTCTGTGTCTCTGCAAACACATGGACAGAAAAGGCAGACATCCTTTTGTCTCCCTTACTGACACTTAAAAATACTGACACAACAGTGTCAGTATTATTAAGTGCTTCCACAGTTAAACACGCATCCAGCTGTGCACATGACAACACAGTTCAGCTAATAATCACGTTCTCAGTAAGCTGACAGATATATTTATTCTCCAACAAAAACATGACTGAAAACAGTAATTAGCAGGAGTCAGATAGCAGACAAATACACAGTCTCTGATGTAATATCTATGAGGCTAAAAGTCTTAAAGCTTTTTATATATTTCTATTCTAAACTAATTTTAGCATGTTTATTCCTCTTTGTTTTTATTTCCAGGGGCTCCATTGTCTCTCGTTTTAATGCCAGAAGCAAACAGCGCCTTATTCAGGGTACAGTTTGTGGATTGCTGCCCTGTGACTGATGATGACTTCCAGATTTTTACTGCTGAAAAAGTCCATCTTTTGATATTGTGTAAAAGTGGAGCAATTCAAACCGTCACAACTGGACGGGGGACAAAACCCAGCACAAAGCAGCTCTCTGAAAGGTTGTCTGAGTTTTACATGCGTGGTAGCGTGGCATTGTATTAGATTAAATGTTTACACATCACTTTATGTGTCTGTTCAGGCCAAAGGACAGCAAGGACCTCCCAACTGTCACTGCGTCAGCACAGTTCCTGCAGGGATTGGTAGGAATACTCAAGCTGTTGATAAAAATATACAATGGATTGCCATAATACTTATAATGAGGTCAGTGTATGGGCAAATAACCCTTGTGAGACAAAAGCTCAGGCTTGAGACTGCACTAAATGCATGGGCATAATTTTGTGCTGAACATTGGGGGGTGTCAAGATCTCTGTCTAAATAAATAAATAAATCTGGGTAAATTCCCAGATGATTAAACATGCAACTATTTTGCTGGTAATAACTGAAATGAGTAAAGAAAATCAACAGCCTATTTATGCAAGATAATTCATAATTTTATTGGGGGGGTTATATTGGCTGGGTCTGATTATTAGGGGGGTCATAACCCCCCTGGAAATTACGCCCCTGACTAAATGCACCATTGGACCTTTATGATGTAAAGGTTCAGTGGACCTAGTATAAGATAAATGGGTTATTTTGAACTGCAAGTCATGCAGAGCTACTGGAGTAGGGTTCAAAAATAGAAGTAAGCACTAGGAAATCAACACAATAGGTTCCCTTTAATGACTTTAAGTTCTTATCTTACTGTCTCATTTCTCCTGCCTCTGTGAGTCACTTGTAATGCAAAGGAGTGGAAAAATGTCCATCCAAGATGTCATCAACAACACCACTGTGTGCTTCCTGACTCCTCCCACAACTCATCTCATTACGACTCCCCACAGTCCAATTTATGCGCTGAACTCCAAACAGCAGAGTCTGTTCATACGAGGTAAACCCAAACACCATTTTATGATAACAGCATGTTCCTGGATTAATGTTAGAACAATACTGTAAATAAATTTTTTTTTAATTTCTCATCCAGGTGACCAGGACACCAGCTGCAGTGTTACATCTGAAGAAAGGAGCCAGAGCCAGCTTTTCGTCTTCCGTTTTGCAGAGTCTGACATCTTTAAGCAGCACGTTGTTTCATATCCTGAGTCCACACAACAGCAGCAAACTCTGAGCTACGACACCTTAAAGGAAACCTGCAATCTCTACCTTCAGAAAAGGTTAGCATTGTTTTTGTACTGTATGCAGACTGTTCTTGAACTCCACAAATGACTTGTATGAGTAAAGTAAGTGTATGAGAATGATAAAGCAGCATTGTGTTTTTCCTGCATTTTCATGTGAAGAGCACAGTCTGTGGAGGAAAGGAACAAAACTCTGACACAGACATGGGAGCAGCTGCAGGAAAATCCAATGAAGAATTGCAGCAAATGATAAAGATACTAATAAAGTGATTCCCACCATCTGTAAAGCACTACTCACCCAGACACAAAGTGGAGGATCCTATTAAATATTATTTCTTTAATTGATAAAATTAGCAAATATAAATATAGAACTGCTGAAATTGTCTTAAGATATTGTCCTTGTTTTCTGTTATTTAAATGTTTTTGATGCATTTGAATTGTAAACTGAAATTGTTTTATTAAAACATCAATAATTTTGAGAATCTGTTTCCTGGTGTATGGGCACACACAAAGACTGCATGTAAAAGATGAGTAGCTTCCAGATTTGAAATGTGAAGCCAAAGGGGAACTCATTTAAACCTGTATTTTTCTAATTGCCAGCAGGGGGCGACTCCTTTAGTTGCTTTTGTAAGTACCTGCAGGAAACTGAACTTTTGTTCTTTTGGTCTATGACCAATGTTCCCTCTAATTTTTCACGTGTCTGAGCGAACACACAAACTCCCTGAGCGATCCCTTGGACCACTGTGAGCGACATCAGACGTGTGCACTGTGGTCACGCCGGCATCTAATCCATCCAAGTTACATGGTTTATTAAAATAATCAAATTACAGCATTTACATTTATGTTAGACTACTTTTAATTAACTGCTTTAGCCCACTTACAATGAAAATGTAAAAAAAAATCTTGTCATTGACCTGTGTAGTATGTTAACACTATTGGAAGTAAAAATAACTTGAACTCCAATTTTGAAAGCACAACTTTCTTTCTTTTTTAAAAAGCGCTGACTTGTATTATGAGTCTGTGGTCTGGGAGAGAGTTCTGTAACTCTCTGTCTGCAAAATATAGTATATAATGTATAATGGGCAATTAATTATATAGTTAATTCTTTAAAAAAAAAAAATTTGCAGCTATTTTTTGAATGCAGCCAAGGCGGTTTTTTAAATAAACATTTCAAACTATTTTTAGAACAATCAGCTGTTCTGCATCAAATCTGATGCCACACAAATTATTTGTGCCACTCCAAAAAATAATTTCTGTCCACTGTGAGATAAAGGAGAACATCACAAGCCTGATACCTGCAAGCCTGACAACAGGAGATGTATCACTCCTGTAACTTCTGTAACATTCAGCAGTCGCCTCATTGTTCTGAAACACACAACAAAAACTACACTACACACTAACTACACAAGATTTGTGCTAAACGTTTCAAATCTCTCACATCTCAAAGCACCGCTGTCACTCCTAAAACTTCCCCCCGTTTCTTAACAACTAGATGCCACGTTGCCATATCATTTTTTGATTGGTTGACATAGTACTTTTTTGGACGAATAGGAAAGGGAGAGGGGGGTGGAGTTTTTGCTCACATGCGGAGAGTGCTTTCGAGCCTTTTTTCTTATAAAACGCCGTTTTTACCGTTTATTCCTGCAGTAAATATAAACAACGACAGTATTCAGGAAGAAAATCAAGTCCATACTTTTTCCGTCAATTGTTCCGTCTGTCCTGCTCACAGCTTGTACACGTTGTCATTAACGTGGCTTCACTCCACATCAGCCACGCAGCTTTCCTAGCTAAAACACCGGTGTCGGCACATAAGGACGCTTTCATAGCCTGTCAACCACGCTGATTAGCTGCGTATATACGAATGTAAATCGCATCATTGACTGGACTATGGGATTAAGGTGGCATCGTTCTAATCCCATATGGGAGCAGCCAGTCACTGACTAACACTGCAAAACAGAATTGTTAAAGTATTAATTTTAATTTCAATTCAGGTTAGATTTTTTTTTGTGCGCAACACAGATTTTCTGTGCGCAGAGAGCGTGCCAGCAGTGCTCAATTGCGCACGTGCGCAGCTTAGAGGGAACATTGTCTATGACCTCATTACATTTTATCCTGATAGGTTTATGAACATCATGCTCATTTTGGAGACTAACAACTAATGTGTAGTCTCCAAAATGAGCATGATGTTCATAGAGGGAAATAAGGTTTCATGCCTGTGTTATTTGCAGTAAATGTTCATGATTTCGGATACAAAGTTGCTGAAACATGGTCCTCGTCCTCTCACAGCAAAACTTAACCTGGGAGAACTCATAGATCCAAAAGTGACTCAAACCATGAATCTCAGGTTTTTATTTTATTTCAAGTAAGATCAGATTTCAGGTATTAAATGTGACTTGTAGAAAAATGGTCCTTGCTTTTATATCTGCTGAGCTCGAGGGACATTTATTTAAAGGATGAGTGTATGCAAGCTGAGCTGAGCTCAGTCACAGCATGTTGACATTTTGTTGCCTTTTGGGGCCTTGAATGTGTCATAAGTCATGTTTTCAAAAGACAGGAAAAAAATGTTATGCAACAAAATTAACAAAAACAATTACACAGTGTAGCTTAAGAGTACGGAGCCCCACAGGGGACATGGGAGAAAGAAAATTAAGACGGACTTTTGCGAGATCTCGCAACACTAACTCGGGATCTCACAAAACTTTTGCGAGATCTCGCAAAACAAACTCGGGATCTCGCAAAAGTTGAATTCCAACAATGGCGGCAGCTACTTAGTTGTAATATTACTCTTTCTGGGTCACAAAATACACTTTTAAGATATTTTGAGGCGTGAATGTAGTTGTGCAAACGTCAGATACCTGCTCAGTTTACAAGACATCACATATTTGCAAAAGTGCTCCGACGTTTTCGGAGATCTGACACCCACCATCTCGAAGCTAACGGGAGGTTGAGACCTACTACAGCCGGGAGGAACACCGCTTTCCCGGCACATCGTGCCTCGACCTCCCGGTCGGCTTCGAGCTGGCGGCCTCCGAAGAATGCGGCTAAAACTTTTGCGAGATCCCAAGTTTGTTTTGCGAGATCTCGCAAAAGTCCATCTTAACTGTTTTTTTCTCCCATGTCCCCTGCGGGGCTCCGTATAAGAGTATTTATTGTCTATACTCAGCTATGTTTTTTGGCAAACAAAAACATTTTTCTAGAGGGGAACATGATCAGGTGATGTCTGAACTTTTATTAACTGTTATTGATATTTATATTTAAAAGTGCAATACTGTAATTTTCTGCTGCTCATTCCTGTGCAATATCCCATCTGTCCTCCCGTCATATTTCTTTTCAAGATTTTCTTATTTAATCCCTGTACATATATTTATATTTATAGATACATATATATTTAGTCATCTTTTCTCTTTTACCATGTCTCTCTAATATTTTGCTCCTTACTATTTTTCTATTTTTTTATTATATTTTATTATATTTTCTCCTACTGTACAACGCTGCTGAGTGACTGCTGCTCGCCAAATACATTTCATTGCAATGTTGACCCTGTGCTAACTTGCATATGACAAATAAAACTGAAAACTGAATTTAATGAGCACTGAGGTAAAAAAAAAAATTAGATGACAGGTAAGATCTGAGATGATATTAGGAACAGCTGAATCATTGAATTATAATGTGGGGTCCTGTTTATATACTTGACCATAATTCATGAAAGCCATATTTTTGACAGGTTTACACTCATTAAAAAAAAAAAAAATTGCAGTGAGTACAATGAGAAAGCATGCCTTTGTGGGAAAATGTTTTTGTATCCAGTCATGTTACTATTTAAGCTAATGAAATGTGAGATTTACCAGCAGGTTTTTTCTCTTCTTTTCCACTCGGTTGTTGCCTTTTTTCAACATCTTACTGGCATCAAACTGAAAATGAGCATGGACAGTAACATTTAACTGGGGGGGGGGGGGTCTTTAAAAGACTTCCCATTCATTCAATTCTTTTTTTTTTTTTTTGAAACAGGGTTGTACACAGTTGTGTAATTCTCTTTCATTTCCTTTCATCTTATGAAAGCACACTGCCACATCTCTCCATAAAAGTGAACAAGATACTGATACCGTTTTTAATATCTGACTGAAAGCCTCATTTGAATTTCTAATTTGAATTTCTAAGAGGCTTTAAAAAGACTTGAGACCAGAAGCCCTCATGTCATGACTCAGAAGGCAACAATAGCTCAGGTGTTCCATTCAGAGAGCTTGGCAGGTTTTCGTGTCAGTATTAGATGTGCACCAAGAAAAGAATCTGTTTGTGAATAAAAGCTTCTGACATGAAATAAAGCTCCTGCTATGAAGCAAAGACTTCAAAGGGTTGCTTTTTTTGGTCTGTTATTTTTGATGATTTGAGTTTTCCCCACTCAGATTAACTGATGTCTTTTACCTTTATTCTTCCTTGGGATTAACTGAAAGTGCTAACACACAAACAAAACAGCCAGTGATAGTTTTCCCTTGTTGGTTTATTTTCTGCCCTTAAAGCCAAATGAAACCTGAATTAAAAGTTGTTAAATTAATTTAAAAACAAAGGATTCGTAACAGTTCTGTTTTTACTCATGTACTCTGAGCACTTTCAGGAGAATCAGATCCATCCAAAGTTGCCCTTTTATCACACGTAGCACAGATGGTCTTCTTCGGATTTGTTCTCACTTGCGGGCTTCGGCTTCTTGAACATGTCAAAAAAAAGTTTAGATTGTGTTGGAGGCAAAACACAGGATGACCGCTCTGGACCAGTCTGAATTCACAGCACCATTACCTGAGTGTGTCTTGTAATGGAGAGCTGGGAGGTTAAGGAGCCTTTTATATCTCAGCATTAAATGGCTTGTATTATGACGCTTGTAAAAACCTACAATGTGTAATTTTCCTCCATCAACATGTTGCTTTTTTTTTCCAAAGTCATGCAAAAACCTTTTCAAATTTCAAATTTGAAAATTGTCTGTTTATTTTTATCATGATTGTTCTGACAAGTTTTTGATTTCTAATCTTCTTGCTAATATTTTACATATAAATATTTACTAATTGGTTGATTAATAAAATAACTGACTGCTTAATATATGATGGTATTAATCACAAGCTGAGGCCAACAACAAATTCCAGTATTTTGACTAACGTTACAATTCAGTTCCAGATTTTCCTGATCCAGTTGGCACACACCAGCAGATGAATGCTGCAGGCATCATTTAGAAAGAAGATTCAATTTCTTATCTCAGTTTGAAATTAAATGCAACCTCCAAAGTCTTTCATGTTCATATATAGTCCTCATAAAATGCTGGTATGTAGCTACTATTTTGTAAGAGATGAATTTCTGCATTTTTTTTTTGTATCATTTACATTTTGTTTGTAAATAATAGATGCTGCTTTTTAAGAAATGTTTTCATAATCGCTCCCAAATGAGCGTCCAACAGTCATCTCCAGATGCACGAACCTGCACTTCTCAGTTTCTTTGCTCCGAACTTGAGCTCTCTTTTAATGAGAGCCAAAGAGGATTTTAATTTTGTCACATTTCCAGGGCACAAATGGCCTTTTCCATCTGCGGTTATGATTCATCGCTGATTATAGGCAGCTCTCCCCTCTGGGGACAGAGACAGACATGGGTTTGCATGACATCTGCACACAAATCCCATATAATTGCTGTCCAACACAAATTCTTTTACTTAAGACATTTCCAGCAGCAAAAGTCACTCCACCAGCTGAATACATTTAATGTCAGATGGTCACAAATTGTAAATACAAACAGTCCTTTATTTCCACGACCTTAACAGTTCTCAGGACTCCTGCAGGATGTGCAAATGCAAAAATATTATTGTTGAAATGAGATTTGCAGATGATGTGTTTAAAGACTGGTAGAAAGATAGTTTTTGAGAAATATATAAAGTTGTTAGTTTTTTTAAATGCATTTTTAAAAGTTCTATTTTGTGTTTAAAACACCAGGTACCATAATAGTTGTAACTTATCTCAAAAAAAAAAATCTTAAAAAATACAAAATATTATGGTGGCTAATATTTGGCAATGCACTGGCACAAACTCTGGACCATAAATACTGAACTGCAATGATCAAAGTGATTTTTTTAAAATTGCTTATATTGTAGGACCAAATTTCAGACAGAGTCACTTTACTCTTATTTGGGCATCAAATACTGTCTGCAAGGGCTATTGGACTGTTTAATAGTTGCATACCCAACTAAAAGTCTGGCTTGTTTTAAAAAAAAAAAATCAAAACAAACTTCACTCTGACACAGCTGGATTTTATTCATTGAGATCTTACAAAGCATTGATTTTAATCCTGTAATATGATCACTGTTTATTTTCTGAAGATTTTCCCAATATCATACAAAATTATCAATATTCCAGCATTTTTGGCCTTTGTATTTTATACATACTCTCATTGGCCACTTTATGTATTCCGATTGGTACCTGACTAGTACTGGATTGTACCCTCACTTCCTTTCAAAGTTGCCACAGATACGAGAAGGTGCTGGAAACATTCCTCAGAGATTTTGGTCCATACCATCACACAGTTGCTGCACATTTGTCAGCTACACATCTATGATGAGATTCAAAGCCAACTGTTTCTTAAACACTCTAACTAGCACCAGCAACCGTGCCATGCTCAAATTCAAAGTTCAAAGTCACCTGTCGTCTTCATTGTGATGGTCAGTTGAAAAACTTTAGCTGTTCGCCTTGATCATGTCTACGTCCATAAATGCTGCAATGTGATTGGCTGATTAAATATTTGTGTTTTTGAGCAGTTAAACGGGTGTATCTAATTAAGAGTGTAAGAGAATGAGAGTACCCTACATATGAGAGCATTACACTGAATAAATATGAGGAAATAAAACAGTAAAACCAATACTATATTCTTCTCATAAGATGCTCTCAGCACTGGACTGGTGAGTTTTTCTGTCTGTGTCGTTGTCAGCTGTTAGAAAGCTGCTCCTCGGTGGGGTCCACTCTGCTTTGCACAGCAGGAGCCTCTCAGGGCTGGCAGGGCTCACCTCCCGTTTCAGTGACAAAGAGTTGGCAGCACAACTAAAAGACCCAGTTATGACCGTGTTGTTTTCCAGATCAGCCGATGTGGTGGTGCCGGTATAAAACCTTCGGAGCCCCTTTCTGAAGTGGATGGTGAATAGGCCGTAGATGAGCGGGTCCAGGCAGGCGTTGACAAGCCCAAAGATGAACAGGATGTGAGTTAAGGAGTGGGAAACCTTCCCCTCCAGGTCGTCAGGGAAGAACCAGTACCACAGGCCCAGCAGGTAGTATGGAGTCCAGCAGATGATGAAAGACAGAACAATCACAATACTCATTTTCAGAGTTCTCATCCGGGCTCTCGGGATGTTATTCTTTGAACACCGCAGGTGCATTTCACTGGAAGGTACTGGAACCAGAACAGAGGACAGAAACAAAATATAGTGCACATTGAAAATGCTATGAACACAAACCTTTATTGTTTTTTAAGTTATTATTTTTGATTAATTATTGGCTCGAGGTAAGCAGATGTTCACTTTGAGAGTACTGTGATACTGAAGGGATAGTCAAAGGCCTTTACCAACTTTACTCATGAATGATTTAGTCATTGAATTCTTGTTTTTTCATTCAGCTTTAGCTTCTACAGCGATCTTGTTATTTGTTTAGTTCTCTTACTCTTTCCCTGTCTGCTCCTCCCCCTTTCTAGTCTTTCTATGGGCCTCCTGTATTGTTTCGTTCTTTTGGGAGTTCAGCTGGTAGTTCTCAAATATGTAGGGGGATCACCAGTATGAGGATTCTTCACCTGGAGACACTTATGGCATTTATGGCTGGTCAGACTGCCGCTCATTTAATATTTAATAGATTATTTCTTCTTTACATCTAAACTAAACTGAAACTTACAGTTGTCCTTTTTCAGTCGTCTGGAGATCTCACAGAAGATCCTGGTGTAACAGGTAATCATGATGACCAGCGGCAGCAGGAACAGGCAGCAAAACGTGAACATGTTGTAGGCTGTTTCATGCCAGTGGGTGACAAAGCTCCCCCGTGTTGTGCACTGAGTAAAGTCCTCGGGATGGATGATGGTCACATTGTGAAAAAGGAACATCTGAGGAGGGAAAATGTGACATTTAGAAAATGATTTTTAGTCATATGAAGTAACACACGAGCAACTTTCACAGGTTTACTGATATCTTTGTTCACAGCTGCTTTTACACATCAAACAGCTGGGAATGGATGTTTCAGGAAGAAACTTCAAGGGTCAGATTACCCCGGTTCAAAATCAGCCTTGTGTGGCTTTAAGTCCTGCTGATAGTTCATCATTTTGTATTGTTTCTGTAGCAGAAATTAGTGAAAATTATACTGGCAACATACCACTGGAAATAGGTGAGAATAAATTAACCCTGCTGAGCTAATGTCACATTGACTTTTAAAAATTGTTTACAGTTATTTGCAAAGAGAAAACTACTACTAAGTTGGATTTTGATCATATGAGGATAATACATTTTACCAAGCTACTGTCTCTCAGAGCGCTAAATAACATCTTTTACTGCTTGTGCCTGACAAAGTTTTATCTCCATCCTGTTTTCAGGGAGCTCATGAACCTTTAGAAGGTGTTACAAAAGTTGGAATAAGCCATGCAAACCTGTGAAATGAAGCTATAGTTAACTGGTTTTAACCCTGCTGTCCTTAACTAGGAATAATTCTATAGTGCATATGCAAGTGCTGACTCTGAGTGTGAACTGGACGGAGTATAACAAAGGTTTATTATTTATTTTAAAAAGCAGTTTTGTATAATTACACCTCTTAGACCTTTAATTTATTTGAGCCTAATCCAAAAAACTTCTTCTTCTCTTAGAGAAGGGTGATCTATTTAAATCTCTTATCCTTAGGCTTCATCACCAGTTAATTTAACATGCCTGTCTTTGAACTGTGGATGGAAACTGAAGGAACCCCATGCAGGCACGGGGAGAACAACACAGAAAATACTCAGCTGGCAGTGCTAACCAGTGTGTCCTCCTTCTATGAACACGAACAGTTTAATTTGATTTAGTTTCAAATTACGCAGCGCACACCTGCAGGTTCAAACACCGCACACCTACTCGATGATTTTAACAGGTGCTAAGAAACACTGACAAAAAGGACAGATTGCAATCAATACCTTCTTTTTTTTTAAAGTCAGTTTGTGACTCATGAACAGAATGAAATGAAAAAATATAACAGGCTCATTCAGCTGATGTTCTCACAAACACAAAGAAAAATGCTACCTGCACTCCAAATGCAACAGTATCCCTCTGTTATGTGTTCTTGGACAACAAGAACACAGCAGCTTCATGCTGGGTCTGTGATACAATACCCGTAACCAGGATAGATTGTGGGATTTGTTCATTTTCTTAAAAATAAATAAAGCTACATTATCCTTTGAGTAAATGACCCCTTACTGTTGACTTTGGTGCTTCTTTCAGCAGTTTTCCACACTGGGATGAATGTGTCACAGGGAGCTCTTTATTCAGGACTGCCTCTATACTTTTTCTTCTGAAAATTATTATTTATGAAAGATTGTACTAAAGCAGGGAGTGGAGTTAAACCTCCTTTAGAGAGGATGAGAAGCAGTTTAATGGCCTGATTGAATTCAAATTAGTCCTGATCATTGCCTCTGCTATCAGCGGGAATGCCTGTCCTTACCTGAGGGACAGACAGCACAACACTCATAACCCAAGCCACCATGAGCATGATTCTGTTCCTCTTTCTGGCCTTATTGATGGCCAGAGGGTTGAGGATGGCTGACTGCCTATCCAGACTGATTACAACTGTGACAAAGGCGCAGGAGTACATCGCCTGCAGCTTAAGAAACATCAGCAGCCTGCAGGCAAAGTCTCCGGCAAGCCACTGAACTGTGATGTTCCACACCGCATCTACGGGCATCACGATGAAGGTCACGAGCAGATCCGCCATCGTCAGGTTGACAATCAGCACCCTCACGTGGGATTTTCGTTTCCCATCTATGCGAGCCGCCCACAGCACTGCCAGGTTACAAAAGGCAGATATGCCACAGAGGATGAAGGTGATGATCACTCTCGCTTTCGCCGCTGTACTGAATGTGGGCAGCTGAGGGGCCATGCCCCTCGCGGTCCAGTTTGAAAGGGCAGAGGAGCAGTTGCAGCTGGTATCAAGTTGGTGGTCTGCCACCAGTTGATACATAACCGCTGCAGGGTCACACAGAGAGGCGTTCATTTTCTGAAGCTCAGGGGAAGGAACATTGTGCTCATCCACCATGAAGGTCAACACTGGAAATAGGAGAAAAGCAATAAAAAGGAATCACCAAGGAACCAGAATAAGTGTGTTACAAGACAAACACAAACAGCCCATAAATAATGGCAGCACATCAAGAGGAAGTAATATGCATGTATGGACACCCAATGTGCACTGAGCTGGAAAGATGGAGCTAACAGACTGTGAGGACCAAAGTCAGCTAATACAATAGCTGAAACTTTTCTACAAATGTGCTTTCATGTTTTCCCAGAGTGCACACAAGAAGTCTAATATTCACCAAAAGCTTACCGAGAATTTCTTTAAAAACCGAAGACAGATTTGAAAAAAACAAAGCAAAAATGAAGATCACTGTATATTATTAAATATTAAATCAGGAGCATTTAAAAAGAAAAAGAAAAACATGATGGTGACCATATCATTAAATGGTGTTTTGTGAGCCCCATTACCAAATATGAAACATTACAATGATGCTACCTGCATAACACCATGAAACGTTTAAATCTAAGAGTTCAGCCAAGACCATAAAATATAAGGAAACTTCACAACAGCGTGAAGGCCTCACCAGCATCATGTCTGCTTTGCATCAGTAGCAAAATAAGCAATATGTTATATTCTAATGTGCATGTGTTTTATAGCTGTAATAAAACAGGAAATAATACACGCACAACTGCATTGTGAGTTATTACCACTATATAAAAACAGTTTCAGTATAATCCTATTTGTAGTTAGTAAATCGACGAATCCGGCGTCCTTATTTCCAAATAGACCTAAAAATCTTTACTGCGCACATCTTATCAGAGTTCTCTGTTTTTAAAATAAGAGGTACTGATTAGAAGACACCGTGCACTGTTTATCCGGAGGATCTGGAGCCCCAAAACGAGATTAACACCACATCCACTGGACATTTTGCAGCTGTACAGGGCTGTGCTTTGTATTAAACTGGTAACCTTCACTGGAGGCATGTTATTTTACAGACTTGTTTAAAAAAAAAAATTTTTTTTTAATTAAAAAAAACGCAAAGCAATGCGTAAAAATCATCATTTTAAAATCGTTCTTAATAAATTCATTCAATAAACAAAACAGACAGCGTGCTATTAAAAATGAAAAAAAGACAAACTTACATGGAGTGATGCCGTGTTTCTCCGAGGGTTTAAAAATCACCGCGGGACTAAAAGAGCTTCGTGTGTTAGTGCGTTAATGTGCGTTTGTCTTCCACAGGTATGCTGCTGCAAGTTTACAAAGTCCGCAGGTTCAGCCGTCCGGCTCTTCTGCTCCAGATGCTCCGCCCTTATCCATACACACCAATCAGAGACGTGTGAGAGGGGGGGGGGGGGTTATCTCATGAGCCAACAGCCCACTCAAGTGGTTAGGACGCATAACTGTGATGAATGATGACAAGGCAGACAAAAAACTATAGTTTGGATGAGAGTTGTGGTGTGATACCCTCCAGTCAGCCCCATCTCATAAAAATGGTTCATGAGATCATCGGGGAAAGACAGCTGGGGCTTAGAAACATTATGCGTGACAAACATCTGAAGATTTTGAGATGCGCTGTTCACAGAAAAATTATTTTGTCTGTTTTTTCTTTTTTTATTTGACCGGTGGTTGTATGAGTGCAGATTATATGCCCCAGTGACCATTAAAACATAAGCCTTGATTTAATTTTTAAAACCAAAAGCTGCTTCTGAAAGGTCATCTTTGTCTCTCTATTAATGTTTTGGCTTCTGTACAGCATGATCAATAATTGGATCAATCTGAAGGCTGAAAGTGGAAAAAAGTCCCTGAGCTCACTTGAAATCTGACTTTAAGGTGTGAAGAGCTGCCAGCAGCATTTGCTGCATCACAGTTTGCATATGCTTAACCCTATATTTTAATCCTAATTTAACAGAAATGTGCAAAGCAAGCAAACAAATAAATAAATCTAGTCAATACCATAAACCAGTGATTTCCACAGCTTCAGCATTACCAATTGATTTTATAATATACTAGTTGTTTTAAAAGTGTCTGATAGGGCAGGGGAAACTTCTTTAAGATGATTTTTTTTTAAATGAAACCTATTCAAGTGGCAACATAAATTTTTATTCTTCTTTCAAAGAGGAGAACCTTCCATGCATAAGGAGAAGATGTTGGTTCTCTTTGGATCTACCTGGACATGTGAAAAGAACATCACTGAAATTTAACAAATCCAAATACAGATCCCTTCTCAGTGTCTCAGTGTCAATCACATCTCCCCTAGACACCGAACCTGACTTTAATGCACTTGTTCTCCACAGCAGTCCTAGTTTCTGAAAAAAAAATTGCTTGAAAAAGCAATTGTGGAATCTGAGAACAATCGTTGCATTTTGCTAAGTTTCCAGAATGAATAATATGTTTACCTGAAATTTGCCAGCAGCTTTGAGGTATATTTTTTATTGCTCAGTCAGCTCAGGGTTATAAATAAATGGGAGCAGTGCACACAGGGGTCAGGTGCCAGAGGTATGACATAAGAGAGAGTTGAATGCGCCACGGTTTCCATTTAAATCAACTTTTTACTTAGTTTTTTCAAGGCTAAATGCAGCCCTAATCTCATTCCAAGTCCAAGATTGCCTATGAGACACATCTACTGTCAAACTATATCTACCTCAATATGTAATGTTCACATTTAACATCAAAACATTTGACTTGGGAATAAAATGTAAGCAAGTAAGATATGGATGAGCAAATGTGGAAGTCCTTTGACTCACAAGAATAGACCATATACAAAAGATGCACCAGGTTAGAAAAGTGAAGCTAACGTGGAAGTTCCTCATAAAGCCCTTTCCACTAGTGCCTCAGCTCAGCTCAACGTGCTGTGAGTCAGTTTTCAGGCTTTTTCATCAGGTGGTAGCATCTGATACCAGGTACTTTTTAGTACCTGCTCAGTGAGCTGTGTCGATCTGAAAATGTGACATCAACAGACTGCATGCCACCGATTGGCCAGTCAATGGCATCATTCCACAAGTCATGAGACTGACTCCTTTAGAGAAATGAAAACCTAACAATGAGGGAAGTGGCTACACAAAAACCAACACAAGGGTCCCTGAGTCTGACAAAAAGCCATAGACCTAGCAGCAGGTATACCATTGCCTTATCGCCTTCCATTGTTGTGTTGTGGTTGTGTCAAATAATACTTACATCACAGGACTTTCAGCCACATGGCTATAACAACTCCACGAACATTAGGTGGTACTTAATGTAATGAAAAGTGACAGAAACTGCCACCATGACATAACTTTACTAATTTGTCGCACTGAATTCAATTTTGTTGACTTTTTTTAACTAGATGTCACAAGAGAAAGTGTACAATATGTGAATGAAAACTTAAGACAGCATGCTTACCTGACAGTGAAGCTGCTGATTGTACCCAGCTTTATCAGCAGATTTACACTAAATGGGACCATAATTTATCAATTCAGCCTGATGTTATAGAGGCAAAGAATTAAAATGAGCAATTAAGCCCATAAACCTATCAGAAAAATATTTACTGAGATCATATGTAAAGTGACAAGTAGGGTAATTTTTTCATAGACTTCCATTCAGTCTGGCTTCTTTTCTACCAGAGGAGTTGCCCCCTGTTGGCCATGAGAAGGACTGCAGTTTTTTGTTTTGTTTTTTACCTTGCTGTGTTTGTCTTTTATAATCTTAAAACTAAAAGGCACTGGAAGAGAAAAGGCAATTTTCTCTTCTTAACCTACAAATGCATTTTCCTTACAAATGTAGCATCATTTAAGGGGAAATAAACAGGCTTTCCTACGGTATAAGATTTTTTTCTAAAGAAGCATTTTTAAAACTTCAACCCTGTGAGGCTGTGTCATGTCTTCACTGCTACGTTTCACTGACAGCAGTTTATTTTAATAAAAAGCTTATAGATATTTATGTGGCTGAACAGCTCAAACCGATGGGCTCTGTTTCCATGGCAATGTCTCACTTAAAGCCCATCGCAGGTCATGGCAAGAGAAGAGGTGACAGCAATCAATTAAACCACCACAGATGTTCTCTTTATCTATTCCAGTCTGAGCAAAACACAAAAGGAATGAGCGATGGCACCATAATCAAAGATCCATTACATGTAGGGACTGAACACTGTGATATTGGGTTTAGCAAGGGCAGATTTTACTTGTCTGTTATCATTTGATGAATTTGCTAAAACTGCCAATGTCAAGTTGAATATTTTGCTTTATTATGGGCAATAAAACTTTTCACCACACATGCAAGAAAAACACCCCAAAGTGGACTAAAGTGGGTGGAAAGATGCTTATCTCTAAAAACATCTGGCTTTATTATATCTAATGACAAATATAACAGGGAAAAGTAGTAAGAAAAGTGTAATTACTACTTATGACAGCAAGTATTACAGAAAAGACTCGTTATAATTTTAATGTTTTTATTAAACAGTTTTTTTTTATAATTGTTATAATAAGTCTGTAATTGCTTTTAATAACAGACTATCTTCTGCCACAGCAGTAGGGGTTAAAAAGCAAGTCTAACTGTTGCTGTACCAGACACAATGTTGAATCCTGTGATATTAAGACCATCATTATCGCCATGACATTTTCAGTCCACTAATCTATTTGAAAGGGACTGTCAAAACAATACACGGTGCCCTTCCTTTGTGATGTGCTCATGTTCATGTCGCATGATCTGTTGTGTTTAAATGGATTCAGCTTGTGTAAGTGTTGTCCAGATCACCAAGAGGAAGGAAGGAAGGGAACATACTGACCTGAACATGTTGTTTTGTGCCTCACGGGGTCTTCTCGTTTTATTCATCACAAGCTCTCAAAGGGAAGTTAATACTCTGAATACATGATCAGTTGTCTTTTTAAGCTTTAAAAAAAAGGAGAACTTTTGAACTGTATCTAAACTGTTTTGATTAAAAATAAGAGTTTATGTAAGGTAACATTAAAGAGTGTCTGCAAAGAAAGTGTGTTTAATGATGTAACAAAACCCTTACGATGTACATAACTGTTTCTTCTTAATCTTATGGGCTATGAATGTGTCTGTGTAGCTACTATTAAACTGTTAATCTCATGTTAATTCTCATCATTTCTTAAGTTAAATATTTGTTGCTTTAATTTCAAAGGTTTGAAATTTATAGTAGAGATGGACTGAAATTAGAATGGAGTTAAAACTAGGAGCAGAACTCCTCATTCCTAGCAAACATCACACACTGTTCTTCAACTGGCTTACAGTGTATTATCTCTAAAACATGGTGGTGTCACAGGTGTCAAAGAAACTCTTCAGAACTGAGGTAACGTATGAATGCAACAAAATACTAAGAGGTCTTTGTCGGCAATCCGCTACAGACTACAGAGACTGTAGTACAGGGTCAACAGGCTGCAGCCTCTTCAGCTCCCTGACTATCCTCAAGTGACCCAGACATAATCCCACATCTGTGGAGAGACCACAGACTGTTTATAAAAATAAAAAAAAATGCACATAGCCACCAAGATAGCACCTGTTGAGTAGTGAAGTCCTGTTTTTTGTATCTGATATAACAAATGTGATCAGATCTAACAGTTATTCAAAGGACCTCTTACTAAGTATATTATCAGTATTTCCTCCTGTCTGACTATATTAAGGACTTTGGTTTGCAACATTCTAGTCAGTATGACTTAAAACTAGTGACTAGTCCATAAAGTCATCATTAAACTGTTTACTGGGGACACAGAGAAGGAAGCCAAGCTTCATTTGCTCAAGACTTCTATTGAACAGAAGCTTTTTTTGCAGCAAGACAACTAAACCATGATTTTCATAAGCTGATTGGCATCAACTTGTGGCACTGCTCAGGTGTTATTGAAGCCCACATTTCTTTGATAACAGCCTTCATGTGTATTTTTGGGTGAGTGTTTCTCACTTGCTAATGGCTTGCTAATCAGTCACAGTAATAACAAGATCAGTAAACCATTTGGTAATAGTTTTGGCTCTGCAGGCAGGTGCTAAGTCCTGCTGGAAAAAGAAATTGGCATCTCCATAAGGTTTGTCAACAGATGGAAGCATGAGATGGTCTGAAATCTCCTGGTAGATGGATCTGTTGATTTTTAACTTGATAAATCACAGTGAACCAACCACTGCCTGCACCAACAGATAACATAGCACTCCAAATTATCCTTGACTGCATAAACTTCATACCAGACTTCAAACACCTTAGATTATGTGCCTCTCCACTCTTCCCCCAGACTCTAGGAACTTGATTTCCAAATGAAATGTTGAATTCACTGTTTTTGAAAAGAGG